TTGATTAATAATTTAGTTATCTAACTTGAATCACTTAAGTTTACTAGTTGTAAACCTCCTGTTGGAACCTTATTTTGTCCAACAGGTCGACTAGTAATACCGTCAAGTCACTCTTGTCAGGTGGTTCTTGAGTAAATCAGGAATCACCAGTGATAGCGCCTGTTTAGAAAAGGAATATCGGTTTCTGATATACTTTAAAAATATTGGGTTCACGATATTACTATAATATCGGATACCTAAATGAATCTAAAAAATATCATACTCCTGATATTACTATTTATTATCATATACCCGATATTAATAAAATATCAGGTACCTGAGATCAAAACAAAATCTATCGCATAACTATCGAGTGCATTATAAAATTTACAAAAGTGCTATTGAGCCTTTAAAGAAAAAATGCAGATATTGGACACCTGATATTTATAAAAATATTTCATGTGCCTGATGATTTTCCGATAATTGACCGATATTTGAAAATATCAGGGGGCTGATAGGTACCTGATAGATATCTGATATTCGAATTTTGACCTGTGTATTGTACAAGTTAAAAGTATTTTTCGTCTTAATTTTCAAGTGGGTTATTCCTGTATAGCAATTTTAGATGAAGCGAATGTCATTATGTGTCAAATGGTTAGTGGAGTTCATACTTGAGAATCTTCCAATGTTATGTGTAATTTGTTAAATATAACTACTCATGTCATTGCTATGGATACATTTGCAAATGATTTGACTTTAGTTTTCTTAAAATCCTATTAGGGTGAAAATGTTCAAGTTATTGATAACAAATATCAACCATATAGAGGAGAAATTGTTAAACTTTTTTACGATCCAGATAAAAGTTCAGAAGTTATACGTAAAGGTTTTAGGATACTTCAAGAAAGTAAGTATGTTGCATTTGTTATGACATCCTGTAAAAAGGCTTGAGCCTTAACTAATCAAGTATCTAAGTTGCAAAAACCTGATAGTTCATTTATTTTATCACGAGTTTATTTTGATCAAATGGATGGGAAGCAATGCCAAGATGATTTTGCTAATATTGATGTCACCCGGAGTTCTCTTGACTGTGTAATTTATACAAGTACTATGGAAGCTGGCATCTCTTTTGAAATCTCTGAATATTTTGATGTAGTTATAGGCATTACTAATATTGCCACTCCAGTTCATATTGAAGCATTTGCTCAAATGTTATTCAGAATCTGCAACTGTTCATTGCGTATAGTTTCCCTTTATCATAGCAAAAAATTTGATATTTTTAAAGATCCATGTCAGAAACTCATTCGGGCTGAACTTTCAACTTTAAGACTTGAAGACTTACCAACAGCAATTAAAGGTCAACGTGAATGGGATAAAATTGTTGATTGTTATGTACTTAATTTATCTCTAGTAGTAGAAACCTATATCGAAGTTAAATATCAGATACGTTTATTAGTCAAATATTTTCCTGAGATTCTTTGCAGTCTTATTGCTAGTACTGAGGTAACACTTGAATTAATTTCAATAGAAGATGTTGAAAAAGTTAACAGGAGTGAAGTTTCTCATATTATTAAGAATATTGAGAAAAAAATTAAAAGTATAGATGCAAAATTAATGGTTAATGCCTCAGATATTAGCTCTGATGAAGCTGAAATTCTTAAGCAAAACTCTATACGTTCTTTTACTGATAACATGACTCTGCAATGACATTATTTGTGAAAAATATATGCTTCAGGTAATATTGGTGACAAGAATGATATTCAAGATTGGGGCATGAATAATGATGATTGGATCAAACTTTGTAATATAGATTTTGTAAAAAAATTCAATAATCCTGAACCTTTACAATATTTTAGAAGACTGGTATATTTCAGAAGACAAGGTTCTAATGTAACAAATTCTATAGAAAATCTAAAAATCAAAGAAGAAACGCAATGGGAAGATTCACATGATTCTACAGACCTTTTTTCAGTCGATTTGCATAAATTTTATTTAGCAAAACAGTGGGAAGCGATACATAATCTTGTTCAATCAATAGGTTTTAGAGATATAGATGATACGAATATTCTTTCTGGTGATGATGTGATAAAAGTTTTCAAATAATCATAGGAAAAAATTGTTAAAATTCAAGAAGATACATTATTGCTCTTTGGTTTTAAAACCAGAGCTAAAGGAATATCAGATCTTAATGCTACAATAAAGTTTATTAATGCAATACTAGGTAATTGATACGGTTATACTATCAAAAGTGGGTGAAAAAGAGAAGGACCAAAAGATCAAAGAGTATGGAAAAGTATTTATTAGATTGATCGTGTGACAGATAGTGGAGCTAGTTTTATAACTTAAGAAATAATAATGACTATAAAGTTGAATGATCCTAATTATCATTTTACAGATCCAATTCTTCCACCATACAAGTTAGAATCGATTGATGAAACTCAAGAACTTTTCAATTTAATATCTATTACTACTGATATTACTATTTCAGAAGAAGCAAAGCTTCGATATTCTGCATTATTTAGTAATGAGGTTTGTAAAAAAAGTTCTTGTAATAATATAGTTGAAAAATTATTAACAAATTTGTTACAATTATTTTTTATAGAATTAACTTAGTTAAATAATTCAAAGTAATTCTCAAACATTACTGAAGCTAAGAAAGAGATACCTGAATCCTTAATTTCTTTATCCTCAGAATATCTCATCAAAAATGAAACTAATATAGATACCCTTATCTTTTATTTATAATAAAAATTTCAGATGTCAAAAGAAAGATTGAAAAAATGGAAAGTCAAGATTCTCTTTGAAATGCGGGATAATCATAATTACTGGAAAAAAGAATGTAAGAGTATGAATGAAGTTGCTTTCTTGAAATATAAACATAATTTCGAAATTAAATTAGACATTTCCACTACTCTACACAAAAAAGAATTAAAAACTCGCTCTTTGGCTCTTATTGAATATGCGTAATTGTGTTATATATCTTTCAAGATAATATAATCTAGTTAAGTAGTAATTTCTGGAGAAGAGAAATTGCTACATTTAGCTAGTCATTCATTACAATAAGTATATTAAAAAATTCAAATCAAAAATTAATACTTCAAAATCTAAAGTTTTTGTATTGTGCATTTTGGATAGTAGGGTTTGGACAACTAAATACTTATTAAAGTAGGTTAAGGTACATATTCAATAATCATTTTTGTGTTGTATGATTTTGATCAAGATGAAAAGTCCCACTTATGAAAAATTTCCAATATATGGGATAAGGTAAATTAGCTGATAACTATTTTTGTGTCATGTGATTTTAAATTTCGAATACCAATTCACATTTTTACCTACCTGATCAAGGTAGGAAAAACCAAACTATTATATATTAAAAAAAGACAATATACAAAGGTAAGAAAAAATTAAGCTTTAACCCACCAAGAATTTTTTAGTTTGAGTAATATTTCGAATAAAAAAAGTGACCCACTAAGGTAAAATTATTACAGAAAGATATATATAAAATAAAATTATGCTTTGATGGGCTATTGAGATTTCAAATAAAAAAAGTGGTCCACTAAGGTAAAATTATTACAGAAAGATATATATAAAATAAAATTATGCTTTAATGGGCCACCGAGTAAGGATAACAATTCAGCACTACGTGTCTCATCTTCAGCAATTAAATGATTGTAGATAACAATTCGATACTATGTACCTCACCCTCGACAATTAAATAAATAATAAATAGCAAATTGTAAAAGTTGTCTCTAGAAAAATTTACCTAGACCAAAAATTTGACAAGGTATATTGATATACTTATGTCAAAATATGTGTCTTTGTCACTAGCTTATTCAGGTCTGCTCTGGATTAGCTTTTCCAACTTTTTCTGATTTTCTAGCTTTTTCACTAATAATGATCTTGAAATTGATACTTATTAGCATTGGCTATACATCTCACTTCACAAGCCATGACATACAAATAATAAAATCAAATTTGAGTTTCTAAAAGAATTAGGAGTTGTTGTAGAAGGGCACAAGAAGTTTTATAGGTTATGATCACTTATCTCTAACATTCACCTTACGCAGTAAACATGATTTGAGCATCACACAGGGGGTTGTGCATCTTTGACACAGCAAAACTAAATTATATATCACTTCTCTGACACAGCAAAACTGAATCACATGTTATTCGTCTTATGCAGCAAACGCGATTTGAGCATCACACAAGAGGTTTACATATTTTTGACGTAGCAAAACTGAATTATATATCACTTCTCTGACGCAGTAAAACTGAACCATATGTTATTCGTCTTATGCAGCAAACACGATTTGAGTGTCATATCCTATACTAAGTAGTTACCCTGGAGTACCATAACATAATTATGTTATGGCACCCCAGGGTGACCACTTGTATTATATAATTCTATGTAATGTAAAAAACTTTCTCTTTTTTTAATTAATAAATTTGAAGCAAGACCTTGTTGAAACAAAAAAAAAAAATATTAATTTATATATTATTTCAAATATATTCACATATATTTACATATATTTAGTTTTTATTAATTGCAAATATATCTGTATATATTTGTGAGTGAAATTTTTCTAAAGAAAAAAAGCAAAAGTAAAAGAGTTAAAAAAAATAGAAAAAAAAAATTCACCAATACAGGTCAAATACAAAAGATATATTATATTGAAAAGGAATTTTAATTTTTGCTAATTATAATATAAGATACAATAGATAGTCAATTGTTATTGATTTTTAACTAATCTATAGTATAGAAATTATCATTTAACCTTATAAAAACTATAATATTTAGAATATACTTAAAATATATTCAAAATATATTTTATTAAGTATTTTTTAACTATATAAAAAATTATTTAAAATATTATTATTTTATAATTAAAATATATTTAAAATATACTTAAAAAAATACTTAATTTAGATAATAAGTAAGTATATTTTAGATATATACTTAAAATATACTTAATTTTAAATATGTTTTAATAATATTTTAAATATGTTTTAGGTATATATTTAAAATATACTTACTCATTACCTAAATTAAATATTTTTTAAGTATATTTTAAATATATTTTAATTATAAAATAATAATATTTCAATGATATTTTAATTATATTTTAAGTATTTTTTAAACATGTGTATTTTTTATAAGTTAGTATAGTAATTCTTTTGTATTTGATTACATCAAAAAATTTTTGAAGATAAATATATTCAGATATATTTGTCTCTCACATATTTTATCTATATAAATCACATTAATTCATATTAATCCATATTTATCTGTATTAATTCATATGTTATATCAAATATATTTACATATATTTGTGAATATATCTGCATATATTTAGTTTTTATTAATTACAAATATATTTACATATATTTGCAAAATGAAAATTTCTGATGTAGTATATACTGTGACATTTCAAATTATTATTTTTATCTTTTATTTATTTTTATTTTCTTTATTTGTATAATTTATAATTATAGTTAATTTTGTAAATCAGTAGTACGAATTAAGAGGTGCTACATTTAAGAATTATTATTGTTAATTTACTTAGGTATATACCTAGGTACAATATCTAGAGAAATACCTAGGTAGGATATCTGGAGATAGATAATGAAATTATCTTTGATAATATTATTTGTATTGCTTGGTAAAGAACCAATCTAATATAGAAAATAATACAATTTGTCTATGGTATAAAGGATATCAAAAGAATATAAATACAGGTCTTTTTAGCCTTGATTTTTCATCAGTTAATTAGTCAGTTCCAGATCAAGTTTAATAGTTCAAGTTTAAATTCTTTAGTTATAATTCTTTAATTTATTCTTTTAATAAATATTATTTCTTTTATAATTTCTATATACTTATCTTTTATTATTTATTATCATATATCTTATCTATTTCTTATATTTCTTGTGTTTATTTTAATAAAAGTTAATATTAAAATAAAATTATTATATAATCTATTAACTTTGAATCTTTTACATATACACTTTGCTAAGTCACAAACTAACTTGGTGTTGTAAAAATCCCATCACAGTAAAGAATTCACTCCTAAGTTGACCCTCTTTCCTAACTTTGTAATTTGCTATAATTGATTAAGTAGGATCATTGGAAATAGTACAATAATTACATAACCTTTTATTAGTTATTGTTAAAGAAGATTCTCTATCCTCCAGAACATTGTCACATTGGGCATGCAACAATATATAATTGTCAAAATAGATTTAATAATTTTGACAACTATGACACTCACCTTTTTAACCTCTTTCAAGTAAATTTGTATTATTAAAAATTCCATATTTATACTTTCTTTATAATATAACTCATCCAACAATAGCATATTTAGTATAGTATTTTAGTTTAGTTATATATATTTTTCCTGCTTTTAGTTACTAGTTTATCGAATTCCTTTGAAAGTAAATTTTGGTCAACAACACCTTTAAAATAATATAATTACTCTTCTTATTTATAAATGGTACTGTGCTATCCAATTTTACTACAAAAAATAGTTCTAAAAGTAATCAAAAAATAATATTTAGTACCTAAAAATATCTGAAAATTAATTAGACTAATAAAGTAAAAGTATTACCTATCTACTACTTTGTAAACCCCTTTTAAACTATATAATTATTTTTCTTTCTTGTATAGATCTATAAATGGTACTGCGCTACTTAGGGATGGAAGGTGCAATACAAATTGAGTCAGGAATTTAGCCAGATTTAATTTAGCCAATTGAGTTTTAAGAGAGAGAAAGAGAAAGAGAGAAAGTGAGAGAGAAAGAGAAATTTAAAAAAATTATAATGAAGTTTTATATAGTTGGCACAATTGAATTGAACTGAAGTTTAGCTGGCACAATTAATTGAGCCAGAATTTAGTCAGGGTGCCTGAGTAGAGAACTTGGAGTGGTTACCAAGTTGTCATACCCAGTAGTTCTCCTAGGAAGTTCGCGTGTTGCGCCCCGACTAGAAGTTACCCTAACCTTGCAAAATAAAACAATACACACCTTTGCACTTAAATATTTTCCCAACTTATTTGCTTCTAGTATAAAATCATTAGCCCGGTCGTTCTAGAGATCCTGCTTCCGGAAGTAGGTGGAATAGTAGCAATGTTTTTGCTTCGATTACGAAGCAAAAAAACCCAGAAAGAATTCCCGTGTTTTTTTAAATATTTAATAATGTATTCAAACATGATATAAAAAATAGTAAAAAATATAGAAAATACAAAAAAACTCGAGAAAACGACGTGAAATTTGAAAACTACGCGAAATTTCAGGAGTTAAAAATTTTTACAAAGAACAAGCCATGAAGTAATTTATCGAATTTGGTTTGCAAATTTATTAATATTCTATTATTTATTCAAAAATGAAAGAGAATTCAACGTATCGTATTTATATATACAAATCAAGAAAATTCGAAAAAAAAGTAAATTGATAGGTATTTTATCAAAAGAAAAAAATAATTAGCAGAAATATCGCCAGACCTATGAGGAACTTTAAACATTTTTAAATTCTTTGATGATTTTTGCCTCATATTCGTCGATCGATTGTTTTAATTCTGGTCTTTGAGGTTTAATTGATTTCGCCTAAAAACAAATTAAATATTAATATATCTGCATTATACTCATGCAATAAATAAGATAAATAAAAACCTTTGTTATTATTTCAACAAAAAACTTTTGAACTTGTTCTTCATGCAATTTATCTTGATAATGAGGCATTCCTTCAATAAGCTTCCTAATAACTTTTTCATTTTTGTAAGGAAGCAATGAAAGACAATAAGCTATATCGTGCCATTGTCTTTGATCATCTAAATTTTTAAATCTTTGGCATAATTTATCCACAACATTTTCGACATGCTTTTCCTAATTAATAAATAAATTCTTTGATTTAATTATACAAAAAAAAAAAAAAAAAAATCAACGAAAAAAATTCGGAATTAAATAAATAAATATATATATTTCCAATTTACCTTTTCAATAAAATCAAATAAAAATTTCATAATATTCTTAAACGATTCCTCATTGAGTGGAGTATCACCACTTGAAAGATTACTAATTATATCAGATAAATTATTGTAAACTGCATTATCCTTTGAAGCTAATTCAGTAAAAAATAACCGGGAAAGATCGCTTATTCTTTGATCTTCATCTTCTAAACATTTTGCCATTTCCCCCAATTGTCCTTTGACTTTAATCATTCTTTTTAAAATCAAATGAGTTAAAACCATTAATGTATTTTTCTTTACTAAACTATCTGGATCCGATAAACGATTATATAAATAATTGATATTTTCATCAATAATATTATTAAAACAGACTGTCATGTCACCAAGCGCGATAATGATATTGCTACGAATAGTAGGTTCGCTTGATCTTTCGAGGATAGTGAACAATAATTGAAGATTATTTTCACAGAATTCGGAACTAACACACATAAATTTCGCTAATGCCAAAGTTGCAGATATTTGGAGGGTACGATGCTTTAGATCAATATTAAAATTAATTAAATTAAAAATTTGGTCAAAATTTTTTTTTTTTAAAAAAAAGGATTATAAATATTAATGAATGGATAATAATTAAAAATAATCAAATGTGGTAACTTACATTATAAGTTTTATTATTCGCACAAATATTACTTATCAATGGACCGAATACTGTCAATAATGAATCTTCACCAAACAATAATTCTTTTTCACGAATTTGAACAATAGCTTCACCGAATTCATCTTCGGCCGTTCCAACTACTTGTTCAAGTTCATCATCACCCGGGTTTTTAGTTGACTTTTCTTTGTCTATAGAAAATTTAATCATTGAATTAGAAGTCAATAAGTCAATAAATAATCAAGTTAGACAAATACCTTTGGACTCAGCTTCGGCTTTTCGTCGTTTACATTCTGCTTCAATAAATTCAAGATGAACAATATGTTTAATCGCTACATGTCCAACTGTGAAAATAAGTTGACTTAATTGAAGAGGATGCATCATGAATGGTTCTTGATTCGTAATAACTTGATCATCATCATCGACATCCATATCATCATCAGCCAAAATTTTCAAACCAAATACGTGTGCAGCTTTTCGTTTGATTATATCTTCACATAAAATGTCAGGATGTTCAGCAAGTAGATAAATAGTATTGATCGCTTGTTCGACAAGTGAAAACCTAAAATATGAAATTCGATAATTTGTAAAAATTAAAATTAAGATGAAGATTAGATTAGATTCGAACCCAAAAATTTACCATTCTTGAGAATTTGTTTGGATTTCGATCATCTGTTTCAATCGACAAAAAATTTGATGAGAAAAGGGTAAACGTATCGAATTATTATTCAGTGACCCTTCATATGATATATATATTTATTTAAAATATTTAAAATATTTGAACATATTGATAATTGATTATTGAATTATGTGATGATTGATTTTTGAAAGAGATTCTTGAAAATTTGAAATTATTTTCATTTACCTTTTACTTTTGCTTTGTTTCCACCAAGACGTTGCAACGCGATGCAAGTATATTTAGCAAGAACCAAATCTTCCTATATACGCATATTATTTTTAAATATAAAAAGATTCATTCGTAAAAAATTTACAAATTGCTATACCTACTCTACCAAAAGATCCTAGTCCAACTTTTAACAGAAGATCTATTTTTTCCTGAACAATATCCATTTTCGCTTTTGCAAGCATACTTAACACGATAATAGCACCTCGACGTTGAGCTTTAGGGATTTCAACCTTGGATATAGCTAAGATATAATTAATAAATGATATATATTTTTTACAATAAAATATTAAAGTCAAATTATTTAATATAAATCAAATACTTACAATAAACTGACCATAATTTAGCTATAACTAAATCATTAATAGCATCCTCATCCTCGGACATTATTGTACTCAAAAGTTGCTCCAGGGATGTCAATTCTGCGAGAGTAGCATTAAGTGTTAAACTAAAATATTAAAGAAAATATTAAAAAAAGTAATAATAAAAAAAAAAAAAAACTAAGGATTAAATATAAGAATCTTATTAATTAATTATTTTTTTATTTAATAAATACCTTATTAAATTCTTGGTTATTATATTTACATTCTCGTTTTCAGACAGAGATTCATCATAGTAAATATATATTTTGCAATAACTTTCGATCAATCGCTTTCGAATGCCTTTTCCTTCATCGTTATTATCTTTTGTCCAAATTAAATGCAACATTTTCTTTATTCCTTCATTAGCAAATTCCATTTTATAAGTATGAGCTGTAACAAAAAAATCAATTGCTTCTAGAACTTCAGACTTTGATGTAGAAGCGAGTAATTGACAAAGAGTCGGGATAGCCGTGTTTATTTGATGAATGAATCGAACAGCATCAACATAATAACGTCGAGTGAATTGAAGTCGAGCAAGATCCACAGGCGATGATGTTTGATGTATTGATTCATCTAACATATCAATATCCATATCCATGCCCTGTATTTCATCCTGATCATCTAAATCCTCTGTTATATTAGTTATTTCGTCAGGAATTTCCCCTCCCATATCAGAAATCTCTTGTGGAGGTTGTATTGCCTTTAAATATTATAAGGTGTTATAAGATATTATAAGCCTCGATATATATGTATATATATCAATATCAATAGATAAGAAAGAAACATAAAGAAATTAACTTACTTTTAGCTCTTCTTCTACCTTTTTCAATCGATCTTCCCATTCTTTGAGTGCCAATTCTCCTCCATGAATGACACCAAAAGGATGAGTTGAAATTAATTTTGTCAATAATTTAATTGAATGCTTTCGTGGTTGGTTAGCTTTATCTTCTAAACATTTAATTACTAAATCTGTAAGCCTCTGCCGACGTTTTGGAAATTTGGTTTTTAAACTAACATAATTAAATAAAATAGGTCATCTAATTATAATCAAAAAATATTTTACAAATATTCAATGAATTAAACTTACTCGCATAATTTTGAATAAGTTTGTAATACTTTTGAACGACAATATGAGTTCGTATCAAGAAATCTTTCTTCTAACAAATCAAAAAAACCATTTACTGGAATAAGATTATTAGGAGTTTGTTGTTCTTCGTTTGCTAGGTCAGTGATCAAATTTCCAAGTACTTCTATTAAACCACATCGCATAGTATAAGGCTATAATTAAGAAAATGTGAGGATAAAAAATTTTGATAATTTCTTTATTTCAAAAATTAGCGATAAAATCCATTTACCTCACATTCTAAATGCTTAATCAAAAGTCCAATTTGTTTAGCCACCAATTTTGGGGATAATTCTGACAACTTTACCAAAAATTTTGAAAAATTTTTTGGACTAATTGCATCTTTATCACCAAATTCCTTATAACTGATTTCACTAAAATATAAGATGAACTTAAAAGTTAATTTTTAAATTACTTAATAAATTAAAGAATAATAGACATAAAATATAATTTAAAATTAAGCACATCAAAATTTTTTCTGCTAATTGGGTATGATCATATTGTGAAGACAACATGTGTAGAAATTCTGCCATTGGTTCTGAAAGAAAATCATAATATTGTATTTCTTGAATTACGGATGTTTGTGCTCCTATTAAAGCAAGTAAATAAAAATAAATTTTAAAATAAATGAAAAAAAAAAGAGATTTTGAAACTCAAAATATTAACGAATGTGAAATATTATGACTTGTAACATACCAAATGCGTGATTATAATCCTTTACGCAAACTGAAAGAACTTTAAATACACGTACTTTAATGTTAGAATCTTTTATGTTTGCGATATTCTCAAGCATCAAATATGCTGATTTGGTAAATAAACTAAGAGTAAGAAAATTTATTATTTTTTATTATAAAAAAAAAAAAAAAAAGGTACATTCTAAAAACAACAGGAAGATAGTTACCTAATGAACGCATTTATTTCCTGTGATGTTGTCCAAATTTCATTTATTCGAAGTTCCAAAACTTCCAAAATTAAATCTAATACTGTCGGTTTTTGGGCTGACCAATCCCATTCCTCTACGAGGTTAACCGTCGTGATATTTGCGGATTTGGATTTTGTTTGTTTAGTACGCTGCAAATGACGATATAATATAAAATGGTGATAAATATAATAGATAATTAACCGAATTCATAAATTTTTTATGTAATGTATTATAAACCTTGGTCCTTCCAGTATTCGTGACATTTACTCTTGTAGATGATGTTCCGTTTACAATGCCCTTGGATGCAGCCTTATCTTCTGCGTTGGATATCAACCATGCCAACAAAAATCCATACATTTCCATTGCCACTTGATGATCCCTATAGGTATCTTCATTATCAACTTCTAAATCATTAGATGTGGCTTCATATTCATTCCGAAACCCTATATTAAAATGAACAATTGATATTAATCTTTACAATATAATGTAAATAAATGAAATAAAAAATACAAAGAATATAATATATATATTACCAGAAATAATGATATCTAGAACACGATTCATCGTCGCGGATTTTAAAGAATTGTAATTCCTAAAAATATATCATTTTTAATTACCATATTTCTTATATTTCTTTTATACAAAAAATTTTACTCCTAAAATAATGTAACTATTTACTTTACAAAACTTCGTAATATATCGAATAATTCAGCGTTCGTGATTGACAATGAATTTTCGATTATTTTATCGGTGACATCTAATGTTTGTATCTAGGTTTTAAGGTACTTTGATATATCCAAAAAAAAAATCAAATCAAAGCATTTTAAAATGTTTACCATTTATTAACCTATCAATTTCTGTTGGATCTAGTTCCACTATGAACACTTCATTGGGAATAAAATAGTTTGCATCTTGTTGCTTTATAAGTTCTTCGTGTAAAACAAAAAAATCTGTCATTATTTCCAGATATCAAACAAAACCAACCAACTAGTCTTATTTAATAAGAAAATATATTTATCAAACGCGAACGCGTTTCCGTTACACAAGAATTCATATCACGTGAATTTATCTAACTTAGAATTTTTCCGTTTGATGATTCTGGATTTAACAGAATATTTAATAAATCGTACACGCAACCATAATTTTGACTAAAATATCTTTATTTACCGTCATCAACATACGCTCAATCGATTATTTTACATATTATTTTTTTTTAATTTACAAACCGCAATAATGAAGTTTGAACAAAACTTTGATTATATTAAACACCCAAATTATTATAAAATTGTTATAATTCAATCAAATTAAATGTTACATATTTTCGCAATCACTTTTGTCATGAATAAATATTAATGTTAATATTTTGTTTTCTAATTTATTTATTTATTTTTTATCTACGGGGAATACCTCGACCACGACCTCTAAAAGCTCTTTGTGCTCCTCCTCTTGGCATTGGCGGACCTGCTTGGGGTTGTTCCGATTGCGCGTTCCTCACAGTTTCATCAACGCTTAATATCAAACATGCAGCTTCGGTAGCAGCTGCAATTGAATTTGTTTTCACAATTACTGGTTCCCAAACGAATGCTTCAAAACTATCAGTAACTGATTCTATATTAATATCAACTCCATACCAAATGGAGCCTGAAGAATAGTAAAGTAAATTCATTATTATTATTATTATTATTATTATAAACATTAACTATATTTTGAATTATAACATCATGATTTTACCGTGTGCGTGTTTCATTCTCAAATTATTCAAAATATCTGTTGCATCGAAACCAGCATTATCACATAGTTGACGAGGAATTACTTCTAATGCACGTGCAAAAGCTCCAATTATTAATTGTTGTTTTCCCTCAATAGTTCGAGAGTATTCACGAAGATATTTAGACAACTCCATCTAATAAAATAAAATTAATGTTATATATCATAATTTATGTAATTCATTATTTAAAATATTTAATATTTCTAATTACGAACCTCTGTAGCTCCTCCTCCTGCAACCACTAAATTATTCTTAATAGCTCTTTTAACTATCATTATGGCATCATGTAAACTTCGTTCAACTTCTGCAATAAACTGTTCTGCGCCACCTCTTAAGATGAGTGTACAGGTTTTTGACGCTGTACAACCTTGGAACAAATTGAATCTTTCACTTCCAATTTGTTTTTCTTCAAAACTTTCACAAGTACCCAAATGTTTCTCTTCAATATTTGAGCATGTGGATTGAATAGATCCACCAACTGCCTTAACCACTCGATTAAGATCTTCTGCAGGTACTCGACCTGCACAAAAAATATCTCTATCAGCGAAATATTGTGTAGCCAAATCTCCAATGGGTAATTTGGATAAAACTACTTTGGCCCCAGTCTTGGCGATATTTTCGAGTTTTGAAAATATAATAGACCACTCGGCATCAACAATAGCTTGATATTCCTATTATTTTCTGAACAATATTAGTGATGTAAATATATTTTTTTTTTATTTTTTTTTGTAATCGTTATGTAATTGATACGTACAGAAACATCTTCAACGCGAACTTCCGCATTATCCTTTTCAGCTTTCAACTCCAATTCAACATTTAAACTCAAAATTTTAGGATTTTCGAAGTGTTTAGGTTGCTGTTCGAACCCAGCATAAGAAAATGTTTTTTTAAATGCAACTCCGTTTATAAGAAGAGAATCCTTTAGGTTTCATTAGGTTTCATTAGATTTAATCAAATTTCATCAAAATTTTGTATGTTGAAAAGTTCAAATATGTTAATAAATAAATAAATGAAATTAACAAATAAAATCATTCTTTAATACTCTCAAGTTATAAATAATAATCCTTCCATAAACTCACTTCCATAGCACCACCAGGAACTTTCTTTATTCCAATCAATTTTTCATTAAGATCTTCTTGATCCAACGTCAATACAGAATCAACTACCATTTTGCTAAAGAAATATTCATGCGAATGAATTAATTTGGATGACATAGCTGTTTTGGCACATTTTAAAAGTAAATTTCGGAATTCTCTTAAATTATAAAATAAAATAAAGATTATTATTATACCAATTTTAAAATAAATAATAAAATCATTTTTAAATAAATTAAAAAAAATTTACTCCTCATCATTACGCTCAACTTTGACAGCAATTTCCTTGACTTTGTTTATAGCCTAAATTATATAAAATTATATAAAAATAAATAAATATATAAATAAATATATATATATCAAAATGTAACAGTTGTATTAATTAATAATAAATTTTAATAAATTGAACTTACCAATTCAGCAGCTTTTCGATAACCTTTAATTATTACATGAGGACTAACTCCCTCTTCAATATATCCTTTAATTTCTTTTAATAATTCACCAGCGAGTAAAACCACACTTGTTGTCCCATCACCAACCTATTATAATTAATTAAATAATATAATATATATATATATATATATATATATTTGAATAATCACATATATCAATACTACTTTAATTTCAAAATCAATCTTACTTCGGCATCTTGTGACCTAGCAATATCAACGAGTGTTTTTGCTGCTGGATGAACAATATCAAGAAGTTTCATGATTGTGGCACCATCATTCGAAATAGTGACTTCACCTTAAATATATAACATCCACATTAAATCTGATCTTTAAAAGATATCAATATGTAATATGCATAGAAATATCATATATGATATTATTTTACCTTTATCACTAACAATCAATTTATCCATTCCCCTAGGACCCAAAGTTGTTCTCACGATGTCAACTACTGCCAAGCAAGCATTTATATTTGATAAGAGTTGACCGCGTCCTTGAGAAGCATCTGTGCCCTCTTTAAGTAGGATAATTTGGGGTTGCTATAAATGAATAAGAGGAAGTAAAAAATAACAGAAATTAATATAATATTTTATTAGAAATTTAATTACTACTATTTAAAACACGTACGATCATAGGAAGACTTCGAGTAGCCATTTTGATCTAAAAAAAAAACAAGCAATAATAGAGGTGTTAAAGGGTGTTAAAGTTTTATCGGATTGCGATCTCGACATCAAGATCATGTGATAAATGTACCACGAAAAAATTATTTATAATGAGCGCACATCCATCAGAAGTTGATTTTTATTATCTCTTTTTTTAAAGATGACAATATTTATTCGAGAACCTTTATTGCGTTATGTTGTCACGTCAATAGGTGGTTTATCAAAACCTTCACACATAATATCATGTTCTATAATCAGACATGATATAAATTCCTTTTTATCACGTTTAAATGTTCAGAGACATTATGCAACTATTTTGCAAAAACCGAAACGTCCTATAGGCTTAGGAACTTTAAAAGACAATCCAAAAGCAGTCAAAAAGGTGTAAAATAGTTAAAGTCGTCTTTTTCACCTTTTTGTAAATTAGAATTTTATTTCATTATTTTCGTATTACAGCCTAAACGAGTTGGTCGAGGACCTGCCTCAGGTAGAGGTAAAACTTGTGGCAGAGGACAAAAAGGTCAAAAAGCTAGGGGTGGAAATCGTACACCAAGACGCGGTTTTGAAGGAGGTCAAACTCCTCTCAGCAGAGCTTTCCCCAAACATGGATTTCATAATATGTAGGTCTTGGTAGTATTTGTTATGAGAATTGACTTTATATTTACATTTTTTTCTATATTTGATATATATATATATATTTTTAATTATAGAAATTCAAAAACTTGGGCACCTTTAAATCTTGATCGACTTCAACATTGGATTAATACTGGTAGAATTGATCCTACTAAGCCGATCACTATGAAAGAACTCAATGATACAAGATGTGTGCACGGTATTAAAGATGGTGTTAAATTGTTAGCTGATGTATGTATGTAATATTTATTTATTTTATTTATTTGTTCATTTATTTAATTATTTATTTAATAAATTGTGATCTTAAAAACATTATTATTTTTCAGGGATCTGAACATTTTAAAACACCAATCACTATTGAAGTAGCACGAGCCTCACATGAAGCAATTAAAGTAATCGAAAAAGCTGGTGGTAATGTTACTTGTAGATATTTCAATAGACTTGCATTAAGAGCTACTTTAAAACCTGAGAAATTTTGGAAAATTCCTAAATTTGCTGATCCTGTTAAGGCTAGAGATAAAGGTATTTATTATTATTTTATATTTTGTTGTTATTATTATTATTATTATTATTATATTAATATTTTTATCATCACCATCATCATCATTATTGTTATAATTAGAATGGTATTCTGACATTAAGAATAGAGGTTACTTGGCAAAAAAAGCACTTGTTGCTAATACAAATCAATAAATAGAATTTTAATTATAGGCATATCTGGCCAGATATATATTTTTTATATATCTCTGGTATTTTAGCCAATAAAAAAATGTATTTTTGTCACGTTATTACACACGTAACCCTTTAGTAAAAAGTCAGTAGATCGACTTGGTTCATCAATCGGCATCATCACGTACAACATCAAACAATAATAATAATTAATGGTCAATTACTGTTTCAATTACATTTAATCAATTAAATTTTGATACTTTGATCATCATGATCCTTGAGTTTAATTTAATTGCATTATTTTAACAAAGACTTGAGTTGATTAATGAAAAAAATACAAGATATGAAACACAGAAATAAAAGATGCTGAAAGTGTAATATCTGCCTTAACTTGTATGGCCAAAGATATGAATAAATCATAAAAAAAATCATAAGCACTAATAATGTTTTTATTTACATATAATAATGTGTATTGTCTATGATGATCTATAAGTTTGTATATTATAAACAAAAACGAAGTTAGTAAAACATGTAATCCTAACATCAACATAAATATATTATAAAATTTATCTCATGTATTACTAATACAAGCACATTTTTGTGAATTAATATTTTCATTTTGGTTTTGAATTAGGTTCCTTTTAGAATTTTTCTTTGGTCAACCTCACTTTCTTTTTATAATAGTTATAGGCAGCATATTCTCTTTTTCACTTCTGATTCTTCTTTTCTTTGGTTATCTAACTTTCTTGTTCTTGATAGAGTTGTTAATTATTGGACATTCCAAGGAAGGTTGTGATATACTGGTTAAAACAGGAATGTCATTGGCAATGATATATAGAGATTCTAAATACATCTTAAGGTATACCATAAAGTTTGCACATTTATTGGGATCCATTGAAATCTTGTTTGCAATTTTTCTTGATAGTTGATAGATATGCATATATCAGAATTGAGAGTCATTTTCACTGGACGATTCTTGTGGTAATAGAGTTTCTGAAGCTTGTGAATTGCTGTAAAAGTTAATATAATCTTTTGCAAGTTCCAATTCAGGTGAATCTTTTTGTCAACATTTTGAAAAGTAAATGGAATTGAGTTGGAGAAATAAAAGATGAACTGTGGCTACAAAAGAATGGTAATAAATTATTCCAGCAAACTCAAGATTGTAACAGCAGCAAATAAATATATGACCATCATAGCACACTCAATATATAACATCAGATCTCTCATAACGTGATAATTTAAAATGATATACTTCATCATTGTTTGTTGTTTTCCTGCATACATATGCTGTCACTGGTAATTCCTGGTTTCCTTGAGATTAAATCAGTAAAGTGACTTAACAGTTCTTTTAAGAAGTTTATAGTCCTTTCCCAAAGGTAAGACTGTTATTTCATTATTTTAGAAGGCATCACTGATTCAGTTATTTTAAAAAGGGAATCAGACTTTCATCCAATTTATTTCAATATCTTTTCAAGTTTTTTCTCATTTTTAGTATTAATATCAATCTATTAATCATCTTTTAGTTTCATCAACTTTGAATATTCTCTCTAGTTATCCAGGATAAATATTATTCCAAGTCCAAAGTTTATAATAACAGTTTATAATTAATTTCATTAACTTAAGAATAATAATATTATACAATTATACAACCAAGTATTTAATTCTATAATATCTATTATTCCTTTGTTAATTATATATTTTATCATTTAATATAACTTTTATTTAATCTTTTCAATATTTATTATTTATTAATTCAATTGCAGGGTAATTTTTACAAGTAATTATCTTGGAGTTAAAATTATAAAATTAAATTTATCAATTTCAAATAAGTTACAAATTATCAAAATTCAAAATTATAAAATT